GCGTGAATATGGCTCTTTTGATTTTAGTTGAATTACTCCAGTCAACTTGATATGCATGAGACCACAATTACTGCCTAAAATACCAGGCTTTTTTCCATTGACTAGCTCTGCTGGGAAAACTAGTAGAGGGTGAAGATTTATTTTAAAACATGAGGCAGAAAGCATAACTCCTGTGAAATTTTTTGTTCTTTATACAAGGGTTAGAAGTAAAAATGCTTAAGGTAGGATATCACAAAAACATTCCAAGAAATATAGAGTGAAATTATCCTGCTTGTATCAGGTGACACATACTGGGGAAATAATCCTTCTAGTCTACATTGTGCAGCATCTGGAGAGCTGGTAGTGGTCATGGTAGTTAGCATTAAATGAGGTTCTATTTCCAAAGACAAAATAGAGAATCTCGGGATACTTGCATCCAGATTGCATTTACTAGCAAATAGCAGAGCATGGTGGTAGTGGTGTTTTTTGGGTTTTTTGTTTGTTGTTTGTTGTTTCTTTTTTTTTTTTTTTTTTTTTCATTTTTTTTTTTTTTTTTTTTTTTTTTTTTTTTTTCTTTTTTTTTTTTTTCATTTCAATTGCATTCTTAGTGCAATGAAAATAGTTTTGGCATCATCACTTATTGTATTGGGGGGGTACTTTATAAAAGCTAGAGGATAGGCTAATCTTTTTGCTCTACTTATGAATTTGTTTATTTGCAGCTTGTCTAATTAACAGGAAAAAGCATGGTCAGCAGCCTTAGCCCTGACATAGGTTAAATTGACATCTTGTTGCTTAACAAAGTGTTTATCAGCACAAAACTTTCTTCAGTGCCATCAAGCATAAAAGAAAAATTATTTTAGCTATGGTAAAACCTGGTTCCATGCACAATAAGAACACAGGAAAGCCACAACTTTTGTGACCTCTGTCTACTAAATCCAACCTACTTGTATTAAGAAAACACTAGGAGACTTTGGCTTTTTGCTTTCAATAATGCTGATCTGAATGATTTGTGGTCATCCTGTGTTGCAGCTGATGGTCTTTGACTGTTATCTCTCCATTTTCAGTTTTCAGCTGTGATAAGTACTTAGAAAGCCACAGATGTAAGCATTATTTGGGATGGTATGATTTAAAATTCACATAAGTAGATTACTGTGTTGCACATTTGTTAGAGCATTTTGCTGGAACTGCTTCATGTCTACTGAAGAGGCAGTTTTTGTGGTTACTGCCAGTGTACCTGGCTGAGGTTCAGGTCGAGACCTGGAAGCTTAGAATTTTGTCCTTCTCAGTCATCTTTCCAGATACTGCATGGGACAGAGCTCAGTTATCCTTACAGCATTTCCATTGATTTCCTTCGAAAACTACCTATTGTACAGTAATATTTTTATTAATATTTGGACCTTTTCCATGCCCACCAGCTGAAGTGTCTTCAATGCCTGGAAATCTATAGGAATAGGCCAGGTCAGCCTTACCTGATCTCCCAAGCTGGTTCCCACTGGTTAAGCTGCTCTGCTCCCAAGCTGCACAATGGGTGGAGGGGAAATATGTGGGAGCTGTTAGCTGGGGGCTTACAAAGTGGCACCTTGAATTTACAGACCCTGTGACTTGTGCTGCTCTGCATGGGGTGAGAGGATGGAGATGCCCAGCTGGCACCTAGAGAGCTGTGTTTGCTGGCAGATCTTATTGTCTGTCCTTTGACATATGTGCAATGTGGAGGCTGAAAGTAGCAGCAAAAACACCTGCTCTGAATCGTGTTAGGGCTTTGCTACAGCACAGCTGAGAACAGGCAGAGTTTTCTTTTCCAAATATCTGAAGACTAATTGGGTATCAAACTGCACCATGTTTGTAACACATGCTGTGTGACATTCCCTGCTGCAATGGTCAGACAGGTCCACCTGGAAGTGACAAAAAGACATGAAATTAAAATTTAAAAATGAAGAGTTTATCTAGCCCAGCATTTGGAGATGCTTCAAACATTGGGCTAGATAATAGGCTTTTTTCAACAGATATGTAGTTTGGAATGTGTTATTTTTTCTGAAAAAGTGGTATCTTTACTGATCCTTTAAGTATGTTAGTAATTGTAGGTAAGAGTTGTCTTGGCCTCAAATGCTGGTTTGCTTTGGCTTTTTATTATGCTTGACAGACTGGTGCCTGTTCCCCCTCCTTCCCACCATTGTGTCTCTTTAATTCCACTTTACAGAGGAGTTCCTTCAGTGTCTTTGTCACATTTGAACTTTTGTTTAAGAATAAATTTTCCTGAGTGCTAAGCCTTACAGCAACTTAGGTACTTCCAAATCAAAGTCAGAGTAGATGTATGCTTGTTCCTCCAGCCAAGCTTTTCAGGGAGATTAGTTCTTCTGACTTCAATTGATTTAATAACTCCTCTGCACTTGAAGACTTCTGAGGACTGTGCAGCCAAGGCATATCTAAAAATAACATTTAGGTCCAAGAGCCACTAAGGCAGTTTTGGAGAATGCAAAACATAACTACAGCCCCCTTCTCTTACATCTCACGGGTTGCAAGGAACAAAGGACTGTTTCCTAGTGTTTTGATGATGATGTGAAACCTGGGTATGCCCAAAACATCGCCAGTGTGATTCTTTTTCATTACTGTGGATGATGAGGAAATTTGAAAGAACTTCCTTCTGGATACATGATTAAATGTAGGTTCAAATTATTTGAACTGAGATAATAAGGATATAACTGGTCTTTTGAGAGCTGTGATCCAGAGTATTACTTTTCAGTTGAAAGCTTAGTTTTACCCCACTCCTGTCAAAATCCAGAGCATGCTAAAAGCATGACCTTTTCTATTCATTTGCAAAGTATGAAGAAATACTTTGGAATGAGAAATAGGAATTTGAAAGAGTAACTCCAAAAGCTGTTCCTGTTGCAGCAAGTTAGTATCAATTCTGTCTTGATAATGTAATAAAAACAAGTCTCCTGCTCATTTCCAGTGCATAACTATATATTCTGATAAGATCTCTAATATGCTGGTTGGGGAGAGCAAGCAAGTCAGCTACTGTTGGCACATTTTCTGCGTGACAGAGCTTTACAGTATTTAAAAATGCAAAACATGTAACTAGCAAATTTCCAAAGTGTCCCTAAAACAGAACAATTCTAGACTCAGTCCTTTTTTTAATTTTCTGGCTCTGTCTGTATAAAGCAGCCACCACAATATTGCTGCCAGAAGAGGTATGTTTTTATTACATCTATTGACATACTTTCACATGCAATTTCAGCAGAGACAAAGCACAGCTGGGCTTTAGCTTGCTATTGAAGGTGAAACCCAATCTGCAGTAGGCTAATTTCACTGAAATAAAAACAAGACTTTTATGGTTAAAAATCCCCTTGGAGATACCTCAGCAAATTTGTTTTGTGAAAGAAATAATTAAACAAAAGTATAATTTCGCTTTAGGGTGTTGTGAAGACAAGGGATTAATATTTGTAAATGTCTCCATGAAAATCAGCTAGGTTACAGGACAGTATTTCACTACAAAGCAAGGCCAGAATAATTAGAGGTTCATGAAACAAACACAGCTATTCATAGCAGGGGGATGCAACTTTTTCTGAACCATTCCAGGATGAAGGGTGACCCTGCCCAGCTCTTGGAGCACAGAGGAAGGGTCCCAGCACATGCCATCCCCAGAAGTGCAGGACTGAGTCTGGGGCTCTGAGTTCTGTGAGGGAAGAGCATTGAGCTAAAGCTCAGCTGGATGTGAGCACAATTAAACTGTTCCCTGGCTGGAATTAGCTTGGAGCCTGGACAAAACCAGCAATGCACCTTGTAACTCTACCTTCAGAAAGAGCTCTTCCTGGAGCATCATTTTGTGCAGAGGTTATGGCTTCTCTCCATCCCTTTGTTCAGGTCAAAGGGGAATCTCATGTGCCAGTAGGTTCCTTTAGACCAGAGTTTTCCCCAAAAGGGGCAGATTTTCTTTCAGAAGCAGATATTGGTAGTCCAAGGACAGCATGCAAAAAACCATTCATGCATATGACCAAAATTTTTATGTCAACAATGGCAACAAAAAAAGCTGTTGAAAAAACCTTCAAACATCTGCCTCTCTGTCCCCTTTCCTCAGACAACACAAACTAAAACACATCAGGACCTAGCACTGAGGATTTTGACCTGTAAGATCTAAATTTCATAAATGCTAGAGAAAGGAGGAGAATGGACAGCAGAGACAGAAGTGTCAGGAAAGATATTTTTAAGGAAAGCAAAATCATTTACGTGGTTACAGGCTTTTCAAATTATTTACTACTCTACTAGAAAGCAATAGACCTTTTGGCTTGTGACATCCTGCTGTTTGTGACCTTACTGCTGTTTGTTGTGAAAAGTTTGAGTGAAAGGATGGTGGCTTTTGCTAAAAAGAATTTGAAATAACAATGAAACATCATTTCACCAGCAAAGATTTTATATATTGGAAGAGTATAGTTAAAAAATTACCTGGGCATTAGGCAAATCAGGCAGAGAGGTCTTTCTGTTCTTCACTGACACATATTAGCTGTTAGTGGGCTGTAGAGGGGTACACCAGGCTTTACCCAGCTGCAGGATATGCAAAACAACCTTAATCAGAGATTACCCCAGACTCCTTTTGCAGAACAGGTAATAGACTTGTTAAATAGACTTGTTCAGATTTTTAGTGATCTTCATTGTGGCTATACATCCCTTTGTGCCTAGGAAGCACCATAGCCAGCTTAAAGTATCAGGGTTCATTGGGGAATCAGCTTGATAGACAAACTCATTCCAAAGGAGAGGATCAAAACTGACCTTTGTAATTCAACAGTAATAAATCTGGTCCAATTCCCTGAAAAATGAGAGAGACAAGGACTGCCAGGGGGTCAGGCAACCCTGGAGCTTAGACAATTTTACTTTTCAGATTTTGTGGGTTGACTCTACTTATTTATGAAGCTGAATTGCTAATAAAATTAATTAGAAGCATCATAAGTTGGCCATCCCAAGAGTATTTCTACTTGAAGCCGTCATTAATTATTCTGACTAGGATTGTCTGTCTTTTCTATTTATAGGCTGGCCATGGGTCACGCTGACTGTTCTTGGATTCCTGTACTGCTATTCTCATGTTGGAATTGAATGGGAGGAGAATTATGCTGCACATTAGGAATGATGCAAACAATTATTCTTAAGGCAGGTTGATGGTTTTTCTACACTGGATATTATATCTGCACAAGGGTGAGCCAGACCAAGTCTTCAGTCCATGTATTAAAACAAAAAGCTCATTTAATTGATTCTGGATTGCAAATGCAGGAATTGAACTGCAGAAACACTGATGGGCTGCAGCAGGGGATGGGGAGAAATTATGAAGCATTTTGAATTATGTTATTTTTGTAAAACGGCATCTTTGTGACTGTGTACATTAGAAGTGTGCATTTCAGAACAGGCATTTTATATATGTTGAGGGTTGTTTTCATATTTTGCTGCCCATTTTAAGATATTGAAGAAAAAAAAAATATTACCTTGGAGAATTCAAAAAGCCCAATCTCTCACAGGTGGTGTCCAGGGGCATGTAGGGCTGTGCCCTGTACTTACACTACTCCATGAAGGGCATGATGCTCATCAGTTCTTCTTGACTGCTTTCTGATATAAGCTAGAACATTTGGTATTCTCGCTGACTTATTTCTGCCTTAAGCTTCTTTTCCACCTACTGTAGCAATGCCTGTTTTTTTCTTTTTAATGTCTTATTTTAAAATTTTGCCTTTAAAATAACACCTTTTTGGTAACCTTAGAAATCTTTTTTTTTTCTTTAAAAAGAGAGAATAGAGAGGAAGGTCTTTTCTTAAGGAGCACCTTTCTTAAGAAGCACCTTTCTTAAGAAATCAAATATGCATTTAAAGCTCCTAGGACTTTAAATGCTCTCTGCCTTGTCTTAGAGCTAAAGCATTAAATACTACCTTTATTTTGGGGCTAATACCACCTTCAGACTGTTCAGTCTGCTTCTTGTATTGTTCTGTTACAAAAAGAGACATGGTAAATCTGTCCAGTCTGCTTCATTCTCTGGTGTCCAAGCAATCAGCTCCTGCAATATATTGCAGACACCCTGGAAAGAGCTTTTTACAACCTTTAGAAAAAAACAGAACGGTAAAAGACAGTGGCACTAGATTAGCTGGAGTTCCATGTCCTTTGGCTACACAGACCTGCTGGAGCAGCATCTTTGCCCAAAGATTGTGCTGTCCAGAGCTGGGAAGGTCACACCTGCAGGTGTCCAGGTTGCAGGAGTGCTTCGACACATGCTGTTTCCTAAGGGAAGACCCCATCTGATACTATGGATGTCACCTACACTGTTCTGTTTTAAACTGATACTGAAGAGCAGCCAGAAGACCTTTAGTCTTTCTAAAGTTAGACATTCCCCCTAGGCATGGTCAAAAGGCCACATGTTCTGGAGTAGACTTCTTCCAAAAGCAGCTTCCTCCACCCAAAGCATGTCAAAGCTTGTTCCATGCCCCTGGCAGACATTTCAGCCATCACTCCTGCAACTTAAGCCAAGTCTGATATAATTTATCCTTCAACAAAAAAATCCATTCCTGAGACAGGCTTCTGTTTATTGCCTGCATTTCTGCTGGTCACAACTATAGCAACCTTCTTGTTAACTTCCATTTATTCCTGAAGAAATAAGGGCAGAGGCTTCAGCTCTCTATCCATCCAGAGAAAAGCCCATCTCTTGGTGTTTCAAAGCAGAAGCTCCAGCCTTTTATGTTAAGATCCCCCAGCTCCCCTGCCATGACAATGCCATGATTTGCCCTGGAAGCCATTTCTAGGAGGCACCATGGCCTGTTGAAAATAACTTCCCTTGAATTCTGCCTGGCCAGAGACATGGCTCCCCTAACTGACTGGATGATGATTGTAGGGATTCTGTCAGTCACAGAGCAGATGGCTCTAAGCCTCTGAATTTTCTGAAAGGATCTGAGGTTGGCCTCCATTTTGGGACAGCACTGAGCGAAGGGCAAGAATTTTCTCAGGCTTTGCTCAAACTTTGTAATTAAGTGGAATTAGCATTAGAGCAAAAAGTCATGAATCTGCTCTCCTGTCTTATTGATTACCATTATTACATGAACCGAGGTGCTACTGAGTGACTGAATTCCAATTTGTATGCATGCAAAACTTCCAGCTCCTATATCGAAATGACCCTGAAGGTCATCTAGAGCATGCTTATTTCTGAACCAAAATTGTTTTCTATGTTTTTCCAGTGCTTTATATATCTTTCATAATTTTGTATCTTTTTCTGTTTCTATAAATAAAGCTGAAATGCACTGTTGGCTTGAGAGCTGTGTTTTGGGAAACTATGGCCTTGTGTTAGAAAAATAAGTGTTCCACTGTTGTGGAGAAACACTACTATACACTGGAAACCTGCAGGGTGGGTGCAATGCAGACTGGTTACTTTTATCCCTGTTGTGCACTGCATGGAACATGCCTTCCCCAATGGTGCAAGTTTAAAAAGCAAATTAGCCCTTTGTAGCTGTAGCCCTTCAGCATGTGACGTTTCTGAGAAGAGCAGCATGCACATAAAATGATGGTTCCCACTCACAGAGTTCCTTCTCAGTCCTGCTTATGCAGCAGCTGTCAGCATGGGGCATGTTCAGTCAGACACACACAGCTCTACACCTGAAGCACTTCAAACCTGCTGTTCAGTTGCTCCTTCAGCTTGGAGACATGTTCCTCAGCATGGCCCAAAAAGTAACTCTTCATGTGGCACCTGATGTAATTGTGTGCCATCCTCCAAGCAAGGCCTCTGTGACAGTCCTGGGCAGGTGGGGGGAGTTTGCAGAGACTGCAGTAGCCATGCCACTTGCCAAAGGAAAAAAATAAGTGAGGGGTGTGTGAGAAAGTTCCAAAAACTGAGAAGAAGCTAGCTAAGGGGAGCAGGAAACAGGTGACAAGGACAGACATGGCTAAAGTAAGACACTGGCCATTTTGAACTAAAGAGGAGCACTTCTAGCCAGGGTGAGGGAACAGCAAACACTGACCACTACTGCTGTGAGACCCTAAAAGTCACAAAAGTACAATGAACAAAAAAACCCCCAAAGGTGGTTGCTCTGAAAATGAGCTGGACAGCTACATGCCGGCTACTGACAAGAATTCACAAGTGATTTTGAAAAGCTGTGTAAGTGATTAGGAAGCATAATGTGTAATGATATATGGCTGCAATGGTTATCACAAAGCTGAAGTAAAGTCTCTTACACACACACCACACACCCCCTGGCTCCAGCCCCCCCTTAGTTAACAGAACCATCAGCATTACTGGGTAAGATTATACTGAGTGGCTCTTTCTTTAATTCTGCATTGATTAGAAGGTGAGCAAAGCTTTGCTCACCTATCTCTTTCACATCTGAAAGCTAAAAGCAGCTTAGTTGGAATATCCAGCTTACCACAGATCAGAAGAAAAACAGCTTAACTGTGAAAACCTGCAGCAATTTTATTATTAGTCACAGCAATAACGCAGGGCCTGTCCTCTCTTGCACACCCACCTAATTGCCTTTGTCACCACAAACTCTTGAGCTGGTCACAGTTTGCACTTGCTGAGGGGGGAGGCTCTCCTTCCTTTGGCTTGGCAGCAGGATTGTCCTCAAGGAGCTGTGAAGAGCAAGGAGATTGCTATGCATGGTCTGTCACAACTTCTCCTCACTGTTCTTTATAGTTTCCTCTCCTTCCATGAGTAGTGCAGCTCATTATTGCTTTCCAAAATAACTCCCAGCACACAGCAACTTGTTAGTCAGAGCATATATTTTAATCCAGCAGGGATAGCTGAAATACTGCTCAACACAAAGCCTGTGTGGAGAATGCTGTGCCTGTTACACCTTGAGGAATTACAACAGATCATTTCTTGTATTATGGGACCTCTGAGAGCAACCCTCTCTGGTGGGTCCCCATGGATGCCCAGGGGTGTTCTGTGCACATGCACTGAATTTAACAGTCCAAACAAAAGTTGCTTGTGGAGCAGCCCCTCCGTTAGTTGCATGTAAAAGGAAGAAAAAAGACGAATTTGGTGTTTTTTAATTTTCTGCTTCATGCAAATGTAATCACATCCAGCACAGGTCCTGCCAGAGCATCTGAGAATAAATTAAGCTGAGAATCTCCCAGTTGCCCGTGGCTCCAGTCACCTACACCCAACCTACAGATGGACAATGTGGCTCAGACATCCCCAGCCAAGGGACACCCACTGGCAGCTCCAAGCTTGAGAGGCTTTCACAGATGCCACCAATGCCCAGGAGGAGAGGAAAAGGAAATTTCTAATGGCTGTGACACACTTTAGACACTGCACAAGAGATGGAGCTGAAGGGTGTTAAGGCTCAACTTTGAGGCAGCCTCAGCACTGCTCTCTTTAATTCCCACAAGCTTTAGGAACATAAGTGAACTGTTCCAAGAAGAAAAAGGTGTGTGCACTCTTTACCCAGTAGAGATAATGCCAGGATTAAAACTATGTTCAAAAATCTCATTCCTTTTGCTGGAAATCACAAAAATCTGGGTGAGAACAATTTAAGCTAGCATCAGGATCTAACAGGCAAATTTGGACCACAAATTAGCCTGTACCACCTTTCTTAATATCCAGGGGCAGCTCAGTATGTAAGTAGCCTTAGGTAGTTGCATATCACCACCTTTCAGAAACAGAACAAATTAAATAGGCTACCTGTGGCCTGTGCCTTCCCCAGCAATAGTCAACCTGCAGGTAGCAGAAATGCATTCTATCCACAGGGATTTAAGAAAAGCTTTATGTATGGTTGGGTAGCTGAAGTGAATCATTGCAGACAGGTGCATCAGCCAGCCACTCTAAAATTAAAGTTTACTGAAGAAGTAGCACAGGAATATAACTTCAGTTACGACCTGTGGCATTTAAATTGTATTGGCACTCCCTCTAGAGCTGATCTTTCTTGACAAAATTAATTAATTTTTATGGACCATAACATTTTCATCCCTGAACTAGCACATTTGAGTTTCCAAAATTAGGTGACAAAAATAGAAGAACTGGAAATGATACTGGAAGCACAGAAGCAGCTACACTGTTCATAAATTAATTAAAGGGCAAGTCAGGGAAAAAATTAGGTCCAGTTGATTTTTTTTTTTTTTTTTTTTTAGACTACTGCCAGAAGGGTTAAGGTTGTTTTAGGGGCTTAGGTATGTGGGAGGATTACCATATAGTAACCACAATTCAGAGATAAAAATAAGCATTTATGAGAGTTCTTGAAGTGATGGTATTGCTAATTTATAGTTACATGTTTCTTTTCTCTTGCAGTAATAGTTTTGTGCTGAGGTGGTAATTAATGATGAAATTATAGGCTAATAACTTGCATTTGGTCATATATTTGCTCCAGGCCACTTCAGTGATGTCTCCACTGCCTTTCCCCAGCTTTTGGCATCTTGTCTCAAGGCTACCCATGGATCCAACTGCTGACCCACACTTCACACACCACTGCTGGTGCCATCTGTACAACCTTCACTCAGGTTGTTCTTCTCAAAGTTCCTCAGTTTGATCAAGTCCTGCCAAACATCACTTAGTAAAAATAAGAGACCTACAAAGGATATGAAGATGTCCTGCTTGTCTTGAACAGTTATGCCAATAACCACTGACACCGTGAACTGCAGGTTGGGTATGAGGCTTTAAAAGCACAACAGCCATTCAAAATAAAATAACACACTGCTTTTGGAGTACTTGGGGGCTCTGAACTTGGGGGCTCTTAGTTCATGCTGATTGAGGAAACTTCTATTTTAGGAAAAATTACATTTTCATACTAATAAGGTTTCCAAGATAAATCTCTAAAACTTTAGGGCTGCTGGCCGTAACACAAGGGCACTCTCTGACACTAGCAGAGACAACTGAGGCAGGGTGAAGTATCTCACAGCTCTTTCCAGCAGGTAAATGGTGACTCAGAGGGCTACAGCCTTTTAGACCCTCCAGCCAAAGGAGCCTCCTGGGCAGTCAGTCCCATCTGCCCTTGTGCCAGTGTTGTGCTTCCCTTTCCTGCTCCCTCCCTAATGTCTGCCCCCTCGGTGAGTGTAATCTACAAACCCCCCCTCTCACACTTGATTTTCCAAGGTTTTCCTCAGATGTTTATGTTACACACAGACAGGTTTCCTCCATAAGAGATTTTCCTGGGTAAAGGAAATGCAGCAGATTCAAGCTACAAAGGCAGGTATCCAGGGCTGTACTTCGGCTGCATTTTATGCTGCTTCCATTTGCTGTCATGACCTTAGACTCTGCTCCCTGGTGTACACTGAGGTCAGAGAAGCCAGCCTGCAGCCTTTCAGCACATCTGGCCATAGCTGCTCTATTTGCTGCTCTCAAATGAGAGGCACCCACCCCCATTTTACAGAGCTATTTACGATTTGTGTTGGCAGAATTGTAATTTCATGCAGTATTTCATGCACACTTCCTGTACACTTTCCTAAAAGATGCCTTTTCCAATTTAGCTTTCAGCTGAATGACTTTACTTTGTATTCTTGTCTGTCCACTTCCACTAGCCAGGTTGCATGTGCAGTGTTATCATTCTAAAGGAAAACAAATACTTTATTTTGACTTGGGGCTCCATATGGATTATCTTAGCTTTCTTTTCAATACTCACGCTGAGAGTGTTCAATACATTTTCCTGTTATCGTCAGTTCTTCTAAAATACCTTCTGCTTAACTGTAAAACTCAAAAAAAGATTGCTGGAAAGCTTTGAAAGCAATCTATTTCTCCTCTCTAAGCCCTGTTTGCAGGGAGCCATTGCTTGTTGAGCTGTCTGGGTCCTGTTGCTGAGCACACAGATGCTCCCAGGCTTAATAGTGCACTCCCTGTGCTACTGCTGCGTAGCTTTTCTCCCCAGTGGCAGCCCCTGATGAAGAAGAGGAGAGTCTTCCTTTAACAGAAAACCCACATGTGTAACAGATATTTCAGCACAGTTTCTTTCTGCCCCTAATTTTGTAAGCTGGAAGACTGGGAGTGTGGAAGGAAATTCCAGTGCAAAAGCACAACCCCCTCAGATTTGCACATAGAAACTGCCGTGACATTTACAGGTGCTCTGTGTCCCCTCCACAGGTAGGAATTAACAGCAAAACTCATACTTTCCCTCATCCTTCATCCATCTGAAGAGAAACATCTTCAAGAAAACCTCTACAAGTGAGCAAAGCTTAAAAAGAGCCAAAACATCTTCAAGGTTTCTCAGACACTCCTGCCTTCATAAGTACTTAAAGTGGGGCTGCAGGGAGAAAGCTTCGGAATTGGTAATGATGGATGGAGCTGCCAAAGTTAAGCTTGTTTTAAATCTGCACCTGTGCCATGGGGCAACTTAAATTTGAATTTGGTTGTGCTATGTAAGGACTTGAACTTAATTAGGAAAGGGGAAGCAGGAATGGAAAAGTAAAGGAAAAAAAAAAGCAAAAAGACAAGGCTTGAGCGCATGTATTTAACAGATACAGCTGTGCACGAGCATCTTGATAGCTACTTCTGACAGACTTCAGAAGTTCACCTTCCTTAATGCCTTTTTTGGATTTCTCACATGTTTTTACTCATTCTGTCTTTCAAGAACAGGACAGGTTAGTTCCCCCAGCTGCCACATACCAACACAGAATTTGTGGTGAATTAGAAAGAAAGAAGCACAGACTCAATCTTCTAGGTAAAAAAGACTTGTATTGGCTGAGATCCTTTATACGTGTGTTGCAATTAAACCCCTGACACCACCACCAGCAATAAATACCATAGCAACACAGCATTTTCTGGTTGGATACACAGCCTTACTAACCAGCCTAACTCCTGAAGCAGAAGGCAAGCACAGAGAGCAGCAAATCAGCCAAGGTCTCCTCAGCCTTGGGGCACAGCAGCCACTTCCCACCAGGTGAGGGGCTCAGTGCTCTCCCCAGGCTTTGGTGGGCTCTCCTGAGCACTGCCCTGCACCAGGCACATGCTGAACAGGAATAGTTCTGATGTTTCCTCAGTGCTCTGGGAGCAAATAAAACCCATTGCTATGGCACACATGTGTGAGGGGGAGGGATTTCGTGCAGTTCACTCCCACTGGCTCTCAGCACAGATGAGCTGGTTTAGACTGGCCGTCTTTACTCCACTGCAAAAAAGCACCAGAGACAGAGTGCTTCCAAATTTAGCAGGGATACTAAAATGCACCACAGAGCAACTAAAAGAGCCTCCATTACCAAATGCAGAACTTAAAACTATGTAGGCAGCACTCACCTCCCCACAAGCCGATGCACTGCTGACTATCCCCTGGAGTTCCTGATGCTGCCCCAGGACTGCACACTAATTCATAACCAAACAGAAGAACCTTCAGCTATTTCTGAGAAAAATCAGAAGCCACAGCACACGCCCTGTGCTTTAGAAACCTTCTGTCCCTGCTGTGAATGTGGTCCCAGGTGGATGCAATGAGGAGCAGGGGCTGGTGCAGGTGGGCCCGAGGCTGCTCCCAGCTGCTGGGGCTGCTGCTGCCCAGCTGAGCACAGGGCTGGTGGGAGCGTGCAGAACATGAGCCTTTGCAATTTGGCACGTAAATCTGGGCAAAAAAGTGCTTTAGTTCATTACCTTTGGTTTGAAATGCTATGGGGCTGCTGAGGGGAGAGAAACTCTGATGGGGAACATTGTGTGGCCAGTGCTACCCCTCCTGCACTCACTGAAGCTTGGAGCACTGCCAGAGAGTCTGCAAAGAATGCAGGAGCAAAGAAATAATAAAGAATTCAGATGAGCACAACAGCCTCTAGAGACATAAAAAAAAAACAAAAACAACAAACCAAACAAAAAAAAAATCCAGAAAACAAAGTAAAACAAAAAGCCAGGTGAAAGTACATTCCTTCACTATGGTAATTTTCCCTTTTCTAGTAAGTATAAGGACACTGCAAAAGAAAGCTGGATTTTCACGCTGGCCGAGAAACAATGCGAGTGACAAGAGCCCCTGTCACACCACATACGACAGTGGATGCAGACATGGTGTTAAAAATAGCTCCTCATTGTGCTCCTTGGCTGCTCTCTGTGCAGTTCCGCCCCAGCTCAGCAGTCTGAAAGCTTCTGCTTTATTGCTGTTCTTTTGGAGATGAGATTGACAATCCCATGGAGTGTCTTAGTACAGGTGACAGCCACATTCACCAGACCCTTGGGTGAGAGGATGGAGAATGAAGCACAAAAATGGCTGCAAAGCACACAGGGCCCAGGCTGACATCCTGAAGACTAAAACTTTGTATGACTGCTGCCTGTGATCCTGTCACGTGTGTCCATCCTGATCTGAAAGGATCTCCCATTCCCATGACCTTTGGTTATCCTTTGCCGAGGTAGCCAACAAAATAACAATCATTGCTGCCTGTTGCAGCAGTGTCACTGCCAGGGGCTTTCTCTGTGGGGTTTGTCACTGTGTAAGTCCATGGTGAGGTCACTTTCTTCTGCAAGCAGGTGACAGGAAAGCAAAAGGTTCTTTGATCTCTGGTTTCCATGAGTTTTGTAAAAGTTCTCAGATACTGCAGCAGTGAACACAGTCTAAAACACAGACAACTACAGACGTGTACCTTCAGGGCATGGGATGATCATTTCAGACAGGTCACAGCCAGTCTCTGGTGATCTCTTTTTGCTCAGCGGATACCAGGGCTAGACTGAGGTCCACAGCACAGGACACTGCCTGGCCTGTCAGGATATTCACTTTAAAGAGCACCTGAGTTCACTTTACAGTGAGCCTGGAAAAGTGAATCCCTTTGCACTGATACACAGCAGAAAGAAATCTGAAAAAACAACCTGAATCATTTACAACCAAAGCAATAATATCCCACTGCTCTGCTGATAGCACTTGAGATACAAACCAACAGCAACAAAACTGCTAGCCAGAAGTTCCAGAGAGTAATTTAAAACCACCTTGTTGATCTTATTAGCACATATTCAACACAGAGAAAAGCACACCAAAGCAAGTGTAATGTATAAAATAGTTTATTACTATAATAAATAAAATTAAACTTCTTTTTTTACAAATATTATTTGTGCTTGTTTAAAAATGTTGACTAGGGATATCATTAATGGAGGTGGCTGCATTTGCATCTGAAACATTCCCAGACAGTGCGTATACATACATACATACACACACTGTCTATCTACTGGCAGCTGCTTTGCTGACCACAAAAATAGTATCTACTCATTCTCTGTTTCTAGTCATGCTTCATTGAACAAAGTGACAAATGCAAAGAAAAAGAACTGAGAGTATTTGGTGGATTTCTGAAAGGATAAAAACAAGTGAAGTACATTGAAAAGCGCCAAAGCAACTGCATTAACTGCATATCAATCAAGTGTCCATGCAGTGGTGGCTAAATATTGAAACGCAGACAGGTCTCCAACAGATGTACAAATATTGATTGTATGTAGGTACAATAATATAACACATTCATTGGAAAACTTGGTATTTCTTTATATAGCAGTTCATCCTGATACAAGATTATTGAACTTCTTTCATCTATAGCTAAAATGATTCTTTTTCTATGTTAGTGGTCACAGATTTAGTGGGAAGAAGAAAAAACCCATGAGCCTTTCAGAACAGTTAGTGAAAACCCCAAACTGTTTTGTTAATATTAGGCATTTGGATCCAGTTACAGAGATGTTCTGGGACTACACATCAAATATGTTTACACAACACTCAACAATCAGCTTGAAACAAATTACAGTTGCAGGTAAATTCACATTAGCTTTGTTGATCTGTAAAAAAAAAATCTCTGAAGCACTTTTGCAATATGACAGGTTGGCTCCCTGATATACAAAAGTGTTTTGACAACAGCTATGTCTCTTTATTTTATAAGGGGAGGGGGCAACTGGGGTAATTAATTATCCTAATAAGAAGGCAATAAGTGGAGAAAGAAATGTGATTACCAGCAAGTGATTTCCATTAGATTTAGAAAGCTAATCAAAGTGCTTCATCTTTAGGCAACACTGTAAATACTACAGAACATAAAAAAGAAAAAAAAAGAAAACAAAAGTTGAAATAAAACAACTAAGAAAAGGGCCTAAAGCCAAAAGCCGGAAAAAACCTAATGCAAAAAAAAGCTTTATTTTTATTTAATTGAATCAATACTTCCCACAACAATGTGGTCAAAATGATGTCAGATTGGAGGATACAGTATCCTACTGTGCCTCACCTCAAATTTCTGGAGCTTCCCCTGCATGGGACTCTCTCTAAAAGATTTGTCTTGATGTATCACAAGTGCAGCTAAAACACAGACTTTGTTATTGCCAATACACCCACAGGAGACTATGTGGAAATGAAAAATTCAGTAGAAGATGCTTTTTGCCACCTAACACCAGGACAAGAAAGCAGAGGTGCAGCAACCATATGTTATGCTGCCCATGAGAAGGATAGGCTCAGCACCTTTGAGACAGCCCCTGGTACCAGAAAAAAATAAATCCATCTGTTCCACCATCTCTCTTGCAGGAAAAGCCATGAGAAACACTACCAGGGCAGCTTGGCTTCAGAGATACTGTGAGCAACAAACACCAGCTTATGAGCCTTATCTCCACCAACTAGGATACAGCATTTTTCCAATTTCACTATCGTGACCCTCACCAGATCTTCTCTTAGCCACACTATGTACCAGACTCACAGTATGAAGTTGAGGCCAGCTAGAAAAATCAAAAATCATGGCCTTAAAATTTCAACAGTTAACAAGACACTAACAGGACACTCAGTGGATGTCTACTGGGAAGATTTAAGCTCCCTTCTTGGACTGGAATCAATGTGGAATGTGCTTTTACTTAACAGAAATGCAATCCATAGACTTATCTATACATAGATATTATATATATATGTGTGTGTGTATGTACACGCATCTGCACAAGCGCAATCATACACTTTGTTTATACAGTAACAACAACTTATGTAGTCAATTTTTTCAGATTGGTGAAGAGTGATTGAAAATATATCACCAGATAGTCACAGTAAGTATCTTGTTCAGTTCATTAAAGGGAAGTGCTGTAGAAACAGAACATCGCCTTCGAAGCTGTTAAACAGGGTGTTCGCTGGGGTTCAGGGCAGAACTGTGGAAGAGATTTAAAGGAAGAATGGTGTTTTCAAAAGTATATTTGTAATACCAGACAGAAGTAAATGTATCTGAACACGGTAGGGGTGAGGGCTGGGGTTTGCTTTTTTAATCCTTTTTCATATGCTGCATATTCATATTCTTTGTAACCATTTAAACATGAACTTTCAGAAGTTCCCATTTGACCACGTCATAATACAAGATCCTTCTCTCAACTGCCTTCTTTTGGCTGAAATTTAATTACACCATATAGTCAAAATGGAATACATAATCTCTTTTAGAATGATGCAGGTCATTTAGCAGGTTGTTAAATGGCAGAAGCACTATGCCAGAACAGTTAAAATTGAGGCTTTGGTTTTTGTTTGGGTTTTTTTCTTTATACTATCTATATAGTATAACTTGTGAAGTGGCAGAGTCTTATTTTCAGAGATCCTTCAGTTCTAAGCCGAGAAATAATTTAAGTGAAAAGCCTTAACCAACATGTAGAGAGGAACAAGAGAAAAAGGAAAAGCTGACAAATAAAAGCAAAGAACTATTAACAGTTATGATGGGTCCACATGCCATCCAGCCATAGGCATCTGTCTAAGTGTAAGGCTCAGTGGAGAAAGACAGGTTTGTAACACAGGGGCTTTCAAGCCACCCTTTAATGGAAAAGTGCTGCATCAGGAGAGCCTGACCACCATAGCACAGGTCCAGATAAATCCAGGGTTCAAAGGAGTGGGCATGGATTTGTTCATTTTTTAACTACTCAGTAGTCCAGGGAATCCAAACACCAAAACTCATCCTAGACAGTATTTTTTTCAAATTCTCTTACAACAAATACAGGTTGCTGAGGGATGATGCACTCTCTTACAACCAGTCTTAGTCCCTGACAGTTCATAATAATGGGCTTAATCTGTTACAGCTGTACAGGTCTGACTGACACTGACTCGTGTCAGGGCTCACCTGGAGCAGACTCCTGAAGGTGTCATTGTAGGGAGCAAGCAGATTTTCTCTGCCATTTCATGACCATAGCAAATTTTAATTTGGCCATAATCTTCAAAGACATTAAGTTTTAAGTAGAATTCAGGTGTGTGTTACAATCTTTGAGGGCTTTACAAATAATAAATGTCTTGATAGGCCATTGTGAGAGCCTTTAAAAAGCCTTAGAAAAGGACTGGGTTCACCCAACCACTGTTATGCAGGGTGGGGAGGAGTTTGGTATCATTCTGAGCATCAGGCAAGGAGCATCTCCTGAAAATGGGGACTTGTCTGCCTTTGTTCACAGGCCTGGGTAATTATTACAATTAGGAGACTTCTGGGGCTGGTCCTGCTGGGATTCCAGGCTGGGCAATCAGCAACAGCAGAATAACCTTTTAACATATCCCTGAGGGCACACAAAAATATCACTGAGAAACATCAATTCAGTATCAGCAGCAAAGAGCCAGGTAATCTGCAACTGCACATTTACTTTTAGGTTTGCACTGCAATTCTGGAGATACTAGGCACATACTTGGGAGGTTGTAAACATTTCCTCCCTTGTCCACCTGCGATAAGCTCAGGTGCATGTTTATCTGACTGCAGGTAAATGGGTGACACTTTCACAAAGGACTTGCTAAGACTTTCAGCCTTTCAAAAATTTTATGAAGTGTCATGAATATCATGCTGGTGAGGAATTTGCCTGGATCAGGAAACTGACTCCAAGGCAGTCTCTAAAAACTTGCTGGAGTTTTTGGAAATCAATTACAAATCCTTGTGTATCAGTACACCTGGGGTTTACTTAGAGAGTAGTTGTTGTCTAAGAAGACTAGAAATAAAAAAAAAATAATGACTAAGTTTCTCACAGAAACCATGGATGGATGAGTTTCTCACAGAAACTGTGGATGGATGGGTTTCTGTGGCAGCCATGCCATTGCTGTTGCAGGTAACTGCTGCCACTTACAGTGATTAAAGCACCAAACACACAGCGTGGCTTTGGTCAGAGAGTGCCTTCCTCAGCACTGCAGGTCTGCAGTAAGCAACTGTAAAAGACACCACATACCACAGGAAAAACCTAAACATGGAACCAGAGATAAGTTAAGGAAGTAGCTTCTTGGTTTCACAGCAACTCACCTCCCTGCCTGCCTTTTCTTGTGGGAAGGAAGAAGGTAACCTATAGATTTGAACCTGAGATTTGTTTCTCAGGAGTATTTCAATCCTTGGGTATGAATTGACAGTCTGTGGGCACCTCCATACCAAACCATGGAGTAAGACAAAGAAAGCCAATCCTAAACCACCTGCCTCTGGACTTAGAAATGGTGGTGCTGCGCTTGGAATAATTGTTATCTTTGAGAGCAAGGGAGGCTACTGCAGGAACAGGTACAAAAAAATGCTCTTGACAGCAGGACCTGAGCTGGGAGCTTTGCACAGCACAGCCTCACCACTGTGCCAGTCATCAGTGGACATCCCAACTCCCCAGAGATGTCTGACACTGTTCTGCATTGCACTGTGCAAGCATTGGGCCAGCAGAAATCATTAAAATTGATTGCGTTCCTTGCCTCCTCTGTACTTAACATGAACAAAAATCTCCCCCCAAAATCCTGTGTTTCTTTGTAAGTGACTTAGTACCAAGGAAAAAGAATGAGACTTAACACACACAGCGTTAAGACCTATTGCCATTAAAAATGAAAACCCCTTAAAGTGTGGTATGGTACCATACTTCTGAGATCTAAGCTACTGTTAAGGAGTGAACATACCAGATCAGTGGAGTGAATGTATTGTGAATATACACCTGTATCCCCAGGTGAGAACACAAGTCATGATTCCATGTATGCTACCCTATATGAATAATGAAGAATAGTTTTGGTAAAGTGCTTCAATCTTCCTCTGAAAAGAGTTATGAAAATATAAGTTTTGGAAACATCTCCTTCTTTAAGAAGCAGATCTCTTTGTTTCCTTGCTACAATAGCACTTGCATACAGTAAGCACTGTATTTCTGCCTCTACTATCCATTTGCTTCCAAGCTAGATTAGATCAGGAACAATACATCTAGATATAGAGGAAAATGCCACCATCTAAAAATGTTAAAAATTCTGTGAAAGCCTTTGGCTTCAATGAACATTATCAAAACAGAAACTTCTGAATAATAATTTAACAAGAATTAAAAGAGCAGATTCATAGCAGAACAGGACATAAATGCCACAGTATATTTTCATCAGTAGGCAAATCTGCAGGAGCTGTTAGTGATGTTTCAAACATGTTGTGCTGAGGGCTGCTCTCAGGTACACTGCACACCCAACCCTCCAGCAGCTGGAGTTGAAAGCAAAATATCAAATGCTGAAAGACATCTGAGACAGAAAAGAAGTTTTTGAAAAAATATTAAAAGGTTTGAAAAAAACATATCCTTGATTCAGTGAATGACTGTGGAATATCCCATTTATTAACAGATCTGAAATACTGTGGCTATTTTGGAAGATGTTGCCAAATGTAAATGTTTTAGCAATATGTCAGTTTGATATTAAAAAGTACAATATTTTTTTTTCATCTTATTAGCCCTTCCTTGACTACCCAAAAGAAACTTCAGCACACAATAAAATACATGTCTTCTACTGCTCCTTACATTATTACAGCTTTATGAAAATATACTGTGACATCCAATGTGCTGTAGAGGTGACAGAGACAGTGACAGCAGCAACAAAACAAAACAGAAAAACAAACAACCCACCAAACACTGAAAATATAAGCACCCTGGCAAGTGCTTATTCATATAGGCATAATCTGAGCTAAGGACATAAGGCATGCTCCAAAAACCTCAGAGATCACCTGGGGCTCACAGGGATGGCTACTGCTGTCAGAATTCTTATTCCAACATCCCGAGGGAGAGAAGGGGGCTGAGAGGGAATGAGGACAAAGGGAGAAGAGAAAAACTTTAGAAACTGTACCCTTGCTGTCAAAAAGGCTTCAAAGTCAGCTGCCATCTTGACATGAGGTTGCAATTCCTGTTACCATACCTTTTTAGACAGAGGGAACATGCTTAGTGAACGGGTCCCTCACTTGTTTTCAAGAAAGATTAAATGTAAAGTGTTAGGGGGCGGTTTCTTTGTTTGTTGGTTTGTTTGTTTTTAAAAAGAAACACCTCAGCTAGCTCCAAACACATCCTTTTCTGATTCTGGAGACTGGGGCCTTGATATTTCAAACAGCTCCTGTGGTGATTGAGAGCTTCTTCTTGAGGTCAATATCCTAAGTATCTCAGCAAGCTGGTTTTCTATATTGGTCATTTTTGTGTTTAAAGCCTTGATGTCCTCTTTCAACTCATGTTTCACTTCTAGCATGGTGGCCTGAAGAGTCTGTTCTGGGATGGGATAAAAGGAATGCTTGACCTCGGCGAGGACCGGGCTGTGGTCCTGCGGGCTTCTCGTCTCCCCAGCGTTATCCAAGCGCAAGTCACTTTTTGTAATGCCACTGTCACAAGAGTCTGTCTTCTTCAGGGTAGCTTCTCCTGAAGCTTTAGTTCTCTCAGGTAAAGTCTCCATGGACTCTGCTTTAGAGACCTTGTTCCAGTCTTCACCTTTCCCGCAGGCTTCCTTGAACTTGGCCCAGCCTTTCCGCCGGGGGAAGTCCCCGGCTGCCTTACACGCGGCGTGCTCCGACGGCGGGGCCTGCAGCTTGGCCTGGTCGGAGGCGCCGGAGGTGGAGGCGGGCTGGTAGGACACGGGGGTGGCCGGGCTCTCCCGCACGGTCACAACGCTGGCCTTGATCACAGCGCGGGCCGAGGATTGCTCCCCCACAGCGCTGCCCTTTTCCACGTCCAGGTCGTCCGGATCTCGGCCCCTCTCCGCTGCAAGCCGCGCTTCTTTCTGCTGCCTGAACCTCTGGAACAGCCGCCGGACCGGGTGGTCCGGGGGTAAGATCAGAGGCGCTTCGTTCTTCCTCTTCATCCTCTCCTCTTCTTCCCGCTTGACGTCGCTGATTTTTCGGAACACAATCTACAGGGGGAAAGAGATTTCGCTCTGTGAGTAACTGCACACTCATTAAGGGGGAAAAGTTGGAGAAAGAATTATTTGAAAGAATCTATTTTAACTGAGAAGTTCGCAACCTCTGCACATTTATAGCAACATTTTCAAATGTCTTATGTTGTGTCAAACATGGTTTATTTCATTATTTAAGAGCAGACACCATCTGTCTTATAACACCACAAAGAAAAAGAAAAAACAGAAGAAAAATACTTCTCCAGCTCTGACAGGTAGTGCCATTGTAAATATAATAATCCCAGGAAGATACTTGTTCTATTTTGTGTTAAAATGTGACTTCTTGTATTTGTTTTCCTGGCTCTACGGTTTAGCACCAAGTTTCTAATGTTACAGAGCCATTCCCATCAGTCTCATCTCAGAGCTCACTCACTACAAATGATCTGATACTATTTTAGTGCAGCTTGGCCACTCGTGGTGCCAGTACAGCAGAGACTACTCTGGACTCTTCGACAGTAATTTGCAAAGTGTTTCTTGCCCTTCCTTCCTCCCACATATTCTTCTAGAAGCAACATGCAGTTTAAGGATGCAAAGCTTGAGTCAGTCCCAAAGCCAGGGGTACAAAGACAATCGGAGATGGACTTGGCAAGACATGGGGAAGCATGGCATGATTACCTCAGAAGCTTGCAGAGCTTCATGTCTTATCTCTTTATTTCTATGCAAAAGAGAACATTTTTGCACAAAGAAGCATTAATTTTCCATTTATCCTGCTAATTATATCTTCCTGAGCCTCTAAGGCTAAGTGATCTCTATAGGAGCAGCCTGAGGATCCCACAGTACTGAAAAAACATCACAGTGTCCCAGCCTGTACCTAGGCAAGGTTTCTTCCTTGCATGCGATAGAAATACATTCCCTTCAAAAACTCTGTGCATTTTACCTTAGTATTGATATTTTCCAAGCCAAGCCAAAAACTCCATTCTGGCACTAACAAAGAACCAGTAAGTAGCTTTGTTTGAAAATGAGAGGTCCCCAAACAGAAGTTTACAATACAGAGGGTAAAAGATGCAGCCTACAGCTTCTACTGAACACTGATACCTCATCCCTTTGGCTGCTTGGGGAAAATCCACTTAAAGACCTTACACTTCAATACAGAAATAATTTCGAGATTCAAATCATTATTGGGAAATGTGTAAATAAACCCTCTGTTGCAGACAAATTTAAATTAAACTAAAGTTAATAAGCACTTCTTCACTGGCACACACACAAAATGAATGTTTCTCCAGACTCCAATGCTTCTTGACAGTTTTGTCATTGTGGAGCAGGGAAAAAAGCATCTTAACAGTGCATCTTTGGAAGGAAGAAGTTGTCAGACTTGGCAGCATTTCCTAAATACAAAAGAATAAAATTAGCAGGAAGGATATTTTATTTCCAAGCTGTAATTAGGAAACTAAATATGAGATAAGAATAAGAAAACAGGGTACTTGACAGTCTTTTTTTCCTTCCCTCCAGGAAACTCACTCTGCAATGAGCTCAGTAGAAAGTGGACAAAGCAGTGTAGTCCTTAGAAGTGAAAGAACAGGACTCACTGGGAAGGGAATTCAATGCATCCCTGCAGGCTAATGGCTTCCCACACACTGGCAGTTTCCCACTTTACCTGAGGGATGAGTGCCAGCCTAGTGTTAGGGCAGCTGCCCCTCTCGCTCTGCTGGAGCTGAGTGATTCCAAGCAGGGTCTCAGGGGGTCACTCCAGCAGCATCCTGAGGTTGGCTCTGGAGGCACAAAGCCCCAGCAAATCAAGGTAGCTACCTGACCAAACCAGGTCAATTTGTCCCTGCAAAATTCTGTGTCCCCAAGCCTTCCCTCTCCTGGAATTTGTATGTTAGGTGTGGACATCCACATCTGAGCCAGAGGTAGCTAGCAGGGCTCACTTTGTACATGAGCATGTTGTCTTGGTCTGACCTATGGATCAGGACTTGCCTTAAAATGCTCAGAAGGGATGTTTGACTGGCTGGTGCAGTGGTCACACTCACAGGGATCATCAGGGGAGGCTTTTCAGACCCAGAGGCCAGGATGCTTTGCAGAATCAGTGTATGAGCCAATCCCTGCTCCACACAGCCCAATCAGTACTTGTCTGGAAGGCACTGGAGCACCTCTCTCTATTTAATGACGGGTTTTTGCAACATAAATGGGTAAGTTATGTGGCAGAAGCTGTCTCTGCTACAGCACCATGCAGGAGAGACAGCAACAAGCAAGTCTCAAGCAGTCAATCCCATATTAACAGCCTGGCCCAACCCATATTAGCCCTAGCCACTGCACCTCAAGCAGTTAGTAGCGTGATCTCCATGGTGGACGACACAATAAATCCACCAGCAAACACAGAAAGGTGAGCACTGATGGACAAGCTGTTGGCAGGATTTACCCACTCACAGCCCCCACTCCTCTCCATGGCACTGCCTGGGTGAGCCCTCCTTGTGGGTGCCAGACACACTTGGCCATGGAGGAGCTGCCATCAGCCTTCCCACTGTGTGGTGGCCAGCCTGAGAGACCCAAACACACCTTCACTGCTTTGCCTTTGAGAGATCCCACTGCAGCAGGAACAGGAGTGTACATAGAAGGAGATGTATAAACCCTGCCTTTGCCTTGGGTACTGCCCCCACACTGAGACCCCTGATTTCCATTTTCCACAAGGCCCTACACCAGCTCCAAGGGAAGCACACCAGGGCAGCTGCCACTGCATGAATGCAGAAATGCAGCCCTTGGTTCTCCCACCCTGCTTGACATCTACAGATATGCATTTATGTGACAAGCTGTGCTCATGCAGTGCAAGACGAAGAAATGCACATTTGCCAGGGGACATCTCTCCAACTCTTGGGCTGGCTCCTTTTAGCTGACTCCTGAGACACTGGAGAAACAGCTGTCAGAGAGCAGCTTCTCTTTGGGAAGCTCAGACAGAGCTGTCACTTGTCTCCTTTTTTGCAAGTTCCCCAATGCTGTATTTTCTCCAGACAGCTCTATATTTATGCAGTAAGCAAAAATATTATAGCTATGCAAAACTCATCAGTAATTGAAAATGTTTTAATTAACCCCATTTTGGATTTTTTCTGCCTTTTTTAAAGATTAAATTAAAGTCCTTATAAATAAAAATACACATTACTTTAAAATGGACTCTTTTCTTACAAATGCTAAGGAAAACACCATTTTCAAGTGGTTTATCTTCAGCAGCAGCCAAGTTATCCAGAAAATCTCGTTGGTATGCCAGTGGATGTACACCTGCTCCCATGAGCAGTGAAAGTACAAAGGAAAAGAAAATAGATTTCATTTGTTATAAGGAAGAGAAGTCTGGACCTACACAGAAATTTTCATATGGAATTTAATAGGGCTACAAATATGGACCTGAATCAAAGTTAAGACCCAAAATATTGTGCCAAAAATCCCAAGATAGCTTTTAGAACTCTTTATCTCTTTCTCCAAGTATTCATGTCTGTCTGAGAAGGGACAGAGCTTTATACCCCCAAAATCTCCTAGTCTGTGTATCATACACTGCTCAAACACAGGGAACTTCACAAGTTATGCAGTTCTCCAGAACACTGCACTCCTCAAGACCTAAGCACCCAAATCCCACAGAAAAAAAACTAGTGGGAGCATTTTAACAGTATATCAAAACCAAAAGATGCACAAAGAATTTGAATTCAGATGAAATAACATGAAATTTTAACACCAGGCCTAAAGCTGCACATTTCACACCTCAAATCTCAAATCTCATTTCATAATTCTGCTTTTATTCAAAAGGTGCTGAATCTTGTACCTTCACAGAGAAGCTGCCCAAGCTGCCAGAAGTTGGAGTATTGTGGAGGTATCAGCTTAGATTTGCCAAAACCTTTTGAAAAATAGCCCTGTTAGGCACGGATTCTTGCAATTGTATGAACATTTAACCAAGGCATGCAGTGATGATGACTCAATAACAATTTCATTTTTTGGAAAATGCACTCAGAGACAAGTGGAGAAATGCTGGCACTCCTGCTCCCCAATGTCCCTACAATCTACGACAGAATGCTCTCTGTGACCATATTCCTGCCTGTGCATGAGTCCTACCCAAGAAAGAAAGACAGCGTTACACCAAGCACTCCTCCCTTTCCTCAGTATTACCTAGTTGTAAAGTCTTAAGTGACTTTGGGTAAAAACTCTGCCTCTTTTGAATCATCATAGAATTTTCAAGTTGTATTTCTAGAATAAATGTTTTTACAGATTAAAGTAAAAGTATTAAAAAAATGAGGTAGGCATAATTGAATACTTGGCTGTCAAATGTGGAGTGCCCAGCACTGAAACCCAAGCATCATCTAAAAACCAGAGCATGGACATTATTTGTGAATACAAGTTTCATAATTTCTTTATTATAAGACCAGGAGAACAGATGGAATGTGACCCCCAGGCATAAGGCAGGCCATAGGATTGCTCTGAAGGGGCCTTCCCTGAGAGGAATCTTGTTACCACTAGATTGCATCTTTTAGAAAAACACACAGTTTGATGGCAATAAAGAATCCATCATGACATCTAGATGAAACATTGCTTCAATTTTTGATTCAAGGCTAAGTTTCATAGAATAATAGAGTCATAGAATGGTTTGGGTTGGAAGGAACCTTAAAGATCACCTAGTTCCCACCTCTCTGTCATGGGCAGAGACACCTTCCACTAGACCATGTTGCTTAGAGCTCCAGCCAACCTGGCCTTGAATGCTTCCAGGAATGGGGCATCCACAATTTCTCTGGCAACCCTCACAGTGAAGAATTACTTCTATTATCTAATCTAAACCGACTCTCTCTCAGTTTGAATCCATTTCCCCTTCTCCTGTCACTACATGCTCTTGTAAGAAGTCTGTCTCCATCATTCTTGCAGGCTCCCCTCTGGTACTGGCAGGCTACAATTAGGTTTCCCCAAATCTTCTCTTCTCCAGGCTAAACAATCCCACTTCTCTCAGCCTTTCCTCATGGGAGAGATGCTCTACTATGTTGTCCACTGTC